CTTTCTCACATCGAATTCCATATAAAGTATACCTTGTTTCACATCAATTTTAATTTGTGTGGTGCACATAAATGGTCTACCTAGTAAAATCGGTGCAGGATTTGGAGAATTATCATCATGCATATCAAGCACATAAAAATCAACCTGAAAAATTAATTTGTTAACTTGAACTAAGACATCTTCAATCATTCCTTCAGGGTAAGCATTTGTTATATCAGCTAGTTGAATAATAATTCTAGTTTCCTTCAAAGGTCCAATATTCAAAGACTTATAAATAGATTTAGGCATCACATTAATTGCAACTCCTAAATCTAACATTGCTCGTTTAATCTCCAACTTACCTATTTTATAAGGAACCGAGAACATACCTAGATCTCCACATTTAGGAGGAAGCTTACGTTATAAAATGGCAGATATGCTCTCGCCAGCAATAATGCATTTGTCTCCACGTAGTCTCTTTTTTTTGACACAAAGATTCTTCAGAAATTTTGCATACTTCGGCACTTCCTTGATCGCATCTAGTAGGGGCATGTTCAATTCCACCTTTCGAAACATCTCCACCATCTCCTTATTTTTGTCATCCTTCTTTGATTTCGCCAACCTGCAAGGAAACGGTGCAACGTTAGTTTTAGTATTAGTAGGTGTATCGAAAGTTACCTTGTTTGATACTTTATTGGCAGCTTTCTCTATTTCTTTCTCAATGGCATCCTCATTCTTGTCCTTTAGAACTTCAGCTTTTGATACTTCCAAATCTTTGCCATTTTGTATAAAAATCGAGCTTACATTCATCAGATTGGCGTCGGGTTGTGAAAACAATCTGCATTTTTCTCGACTTTATCTCACACATCTCGTTCGCTATTTGACTTACTTGTTCTTCCAAGTTTCTTATGTTATTCTGAGTCTCCTGTTGAAATTGCAACATGTTAGACACCATAGTTTTCATCATATCCTCTAAGGAATTACTCGGAACCGTTTGAGGGGGTTATAGAGGGCGGTTAGGTGCTGGGAATCCTCTCGAATGATCTTCAAAGTTTGCTTGTTGGTTCCCGTACTTTAAGTTCGGCTGATTTTTCCATCCTGGATTGTAGGCATTCGAGTAGTGGTTGTATGCTCTTGGGATGAATCCTGCAGCACTGACATCTACTTCTTGACTCAAGGTAGGACAAATATCCGTAGGATGTTCTGAACTTGTGCAGATTCCGCAAGCCTTAACTTGTGTCTTTCCGACAACAAATTTTCGAACAAATAAAGTCAGTTCAGTCATTTGTTGTTGAATAGAACTCACCTCGCTTGCTTCTTTAACTGCTACTGCTTCTCTTGGTCCGAACTGTTGTGAGTTCATCGTCATATTATTCAGTAAGTCCCACGTCTCTCTAAGAGTTTTGTTCATCAAGATCCCTTCACTTGTTGCGTCTATGATTCTCCTGTCGATGGAAGTTAAACCTTCATAGAAATATCGAATCAGTAATTGCATGGGGATTTGATGATGGGGACATCAAATAAGTAAAACATTAAAGCGGTCCCAATATTCAAATAAAGACTCCCATGTATGTTGTGTCATTCCGCATATCTCTTTCCTCATGATTGCAACTTGTGAAGCGGGAAAGTACTTTTCGAGAAAATTCCTCTTCATATCAGTCCATGTAGTAACGCTTCCGGCAAGTAGATTGAATAGCCAATCTTTTGCAGCATCTTTCAGTGAGAAGGGAAAAGCACGAAGCTTGATTTGATCTTCTGTTACTTCTTGTGGCTTCATACTTGTGCAGACGACATCAAATTCTTAAAGATGTTTATGTGGCTCTTCTCCTAACAAACTATGGAAAGAAGGTAACAAGTGTATTAGTCCTGATTTTAATTCAAAAGCATTGTTACCGTCTACCGTCAGGTATATGATGCAGAGATGTTGCTGGGTCAAGTTAGGAGTTGTCAGCTCCCTTAGTATCCTTTGATCCATCTCTTATTCTAGCTCTATCTCGTCAGAACTAAAATCGCTAGATGATTCTGAAGCTAAATCTTTTTGGCGACGCTCCTTAGTTTCTTTTCTCAATCGACGCACAGTCTTCTCAATTTTAGGGTTGAAAATCAAGTTTCCTGTGCGATCAGATCTCGACATAAACCAGAAAAAGTCAGATTTTTAAAAATAATATAAAACAACCAAAGATATATCGAACCAATTAGAATTCTCCGGCAATGGCGCCAAAATTTGATAGGTGTTTGTCACACGCTGCAAAATTTAAATAAAATAAACCTACTTCTGCAATAAAAATAACGTAGTATAGATGAAGTAGGGTCGTCTCCTTAAGGAATTAAAAAAGTTTTATTTTTGATTGTTTGATTTTTAAATATAATAAAATGGGGGGTTTTAGAAGTAGAAAATAAAAATAAAGTAACAAACTAAAAACTCTACGACTAAAAGATAAATTCAATAAAAATAAGTTTCTAGTTTATGAATGAAATTGACAACTTGGATAGTGGATTTGATCATCAATAAATATTTAATTTTATTGGTTTCTAAATAAATTAGTTATAGTTACCGACACGTTCCTAATAACAAACTCTTCCTTAATTTCTTGACAGTTTAGGTACGTCTGTCAACTGCTTCCCTAGTTAGACTAGAACCTGGTGACGCCACAAACAATTTGCTAGCCTAACCACCTTGCGAACTATAAGAGCCTAATTCAATTTAACAATTAACTATGCGAAATTGTTTAAAATTGATTCCGTGATTTTCTAATGGTGTTTGCCACTAGTTGCTACTTGAACCAAATTAAAACGTAATTACGGACGCCTAATTTAGTTTAGCAATTAATCCTTAATCCAATTGAAATACCTGGCCACAATACCCAACCAAATAAAAGATTATAACTCAAAGAAATCATAAACCACATAAATACTTAGGAACCAAAGAAATATCATAAATCAAAGCTCCTAGACTAGAAAAGAGTAAACTACTCACTAATCATAGGAGGAAGAACAAAGGAGACAAAGATAAACATCACCTGAGAATGATGTTGGTAGGGGTTGAACTCGAAATCTTCTTGGAGGAATCTTTCTCCTTCTTGTCCTTGCACGGTTTCTCACTGGGACTGTTCTGCACGGTGTTCTCCTCGGCAAGTGGCATAAAGTGGCGCCTCCCTCTTCTTTCTTTCCTTTATATTTGCCCTATTTTGTAACAATTGGGCCTTGGACCTTTTTGTTCTCTTTTCCCACTAATTATATCAATTTTATTGTTTTTATCCTGCAAATTATAAATAAATAATATATGCCCAAATCAGGTAGAATCTAATCAAAATCAACCAAATATCGCAAATAATATAAATATTTAACGCATGCGATTTATGGCTATCAATCCACGTTATCAAAGGACCCCCACCTCTATATCCGATCTGCTATGATGATACTTTTTCGGTTAGGGATAGTACTGGAGATAATTACTCGATCCTAAAACGAAACATATTTCACATAAATTTTTCTTTACTCGTGATCTTCACAAAAATAGTGAAATAGATATACTACAGGTTCAATCTAATGATAATTTAGCAGATTTATTGACCAAGATTTTACCGACTGCAACATTCAAAAAATTGATAAGAACATCGGGATACGCCAGCTGTGAGATTTCAAGTAATGTCTACATCAGCGGAAGTATTTTTAATGCATGAATTACGTACTACTTTTTGTTCACTAGGATTTTTGTCCTATTGATTTTTTTCTTGATAAAATTTTAATGGAACATATTCGTTGCAATTAATAATACATAAAGAAAAGTGTTATGATTCATCACATTATAAATAGTAGGTGTCATTATAATAGTATATATGTCAATAATATTATGATGACATGATATCAGGGGTAATGACTAAAGGACTTTTGCATCTGACTAAAATTTTGTATTTTTACCTATAAATAGGCTATTGTATAGAATGAATGTAGGGACCTGTGCATCTGATAAAGTTTTTATTTTTCATTATTTGTCTATCTATACTTTGTCTATTTAGAATATATTATATACACACAATGTTTACATACAAAGCATATACATGCATATACTTAACATATCATATATATATATATATATATATTGCACATCCATGTATTTATTTGGTTATATATATATATTGCACATCCATATATTTATTACTACATATTATATTATATTTGGTTATATATTTTATAGGTTAAATTATATTACACCCTCTTATTTTTTACCGAAATATAATTATGTGTTTTTAGTTAATTTGCCTTCCCATCCCAATTTTTAATTATATAACATAGAAAATCATAAATTTTTTATAATTTTGTTGATTTACACTTCTAGCTTTTATTTATTTTTTTGTTTTAGTAAAAAATATTAAATTTTATGTAATTTTTTGAAATTTCCTTTTTATATTTAGTCCGATACTTCTTTTTCATTCTTCTTCATATAGTTGTGCCGAGGAAATCGAAAAAGGCAATATTGAATCGGATTTCTGAATCAAATAAGATTTTTGTATTCTTCAAGCCTATAATACAATCCCCTGGGTTTCTATTTTACTTCCAAGATGAAATATGAAAAATAATTGACGTAGCGTATAAACTTCGGATCACAACATTAATATATTATTCGTTACTATTAATTGGTCTCATAACCCAATTAATAATTTATCGGGTTCTTGCACATAGGAGACAGACATTTACTAAATATATTTTAAGTCCAATAAATTTAATAGATGACTTAATATATGTTTAATATGACTGATAGCCAAATAGTTTACATTTAACCCACTTTTTAATCCAACAATCTCCTATTTTGGTAATTATATACGGCATAATCTTATAAGCTTATAAAAATTTTGCTATCAGATCTTTTAATGTATTTTACCAATCTTATTTTTAAATCAAAGTGGTCATTACTATATTTATCACAATTAGATCGATCAGTGGTCACAACACTAATATAACTTAAAATTCGATCAAGTGTAACATTGAAATTTTATGTAAAAATGATTTTAACATTTTTATTTCCAACTGATCCACTTTACTTTAACTTTATTTTAAAATAACTTAATATTAAATATTGAATACTGATAAGTGCAGTGTAAATCAAAGTAACTTCACATCAAGTTGACGGAATATAAACACATGGGTCACTAATGTCTAGAGGGGACATATAAAAGCTTTGAGATTGCATTTAACTGAGATGGAGGAGAAATCAAGACTCATCAGAAACGTCAATTGAATGGTGATCGAGATATTGCAAGGAAACCAGGTTGTTGTTCAACCCTCTACTAATCCCTTCTAGTGTACCGGCAACTTGGATCATAGTTGGCCTTTTCTTGCCATTCAAGTGCAAACATTTATTTGCAAGTTCAGCAATAGCCACAATGTCTTCTACCTTACCCTCTTTAAGGACTCTTGAATCAAGGATGTCGAATAGTTTATTCTCCTCCATTGTATGCAAGAAATGGATCGCTAAACTCTTTCCGGATTCCGCTCTCACAGAGGTCACTGCTTTCTCCCCAGTCAAGAGCTCAACCACAACCACACCAAAACTGTATACATCGCTCTTTTCTGTGAACTGGCCTGATTGGAAATACTCTGGATCAAAGTAACCGAATGTGCCCAACACTCGTGTAGTGATGTGTGTTTGATCAATAGCTACAGACCTTGATGTCCCGAAATCTGAAACCTTGGCTCGGTACTTTTCATCCAGGAGTATATTCGTTGACTTAATATCCCGATGATAAATAGGTGCAGATGAAGCAGAGTGCAAATATGCAAGTGCTCCTGCCACATCTGATGCAATTCGCATTCGCATTTCCCATGTTAATGGGAGGTCATCGTTCGGCTCATGGATATGGTGAAAGAGTGTGCCACTAGGGATGAACTCGTAGACGAGAAGAGGTACTTCAGTCTCCAGGCAACAGCCAAGCAGCCGGACCACATTCCTATGGTTTATTTGGGACAGAATAACCACCTCATTGATGAACACTCCAAGATCACATTCATCAACCTTCTTGGACTTCTTCACAGCTACAATCTTTCCATCAGTCAGCATTCCTTTGTAGACCGTTCCTTGGCCACCACGCCCAAGTATCCGATTTTCATTATAATGATCTGTAGCGCGTGTGAGCTCCTTTGAAGTGAACAGCTTGGTTTTCTCGAGCCCATTCTCAATTGAAGCCAAGTGCTGCTCCAATAATAACCCACCATTGCGCTTATAGAACATGTATCTATGGATGCCCTTTACTGTCTCACTAACAAATTTCGCACACCTCCACACGCCATAGAGCAAACTGAATGCTCCAAACACACTACCAATCACAGTGAATGCGATTGTGATTCGAATTCTGATGTTAGCTAGACTACGATTATCATCCCGATGATTATCCCCGTAGCATCTGTAACTCCCATTAGTGTTGACACAAGTTCCCATTCCACAATGGTCTATGAGTGGATCACTACACTCGTCGATATCAGTGCATCCCAAAGGTAAATATGGGTTACCTTCATATCCACTGTAACACTCGCAATATCCCTCAGAGTAAGATCCTTGAGAATCTCTGCAAATTGCTCCAGAGATTTCACCAACTGTATGATCATAATATCCCCACTCCATTACTAGAGGTACAAAGCCGAACTCTGTGAGAAATGGATTCGATAAAACATCATCCCGAGAGAACCATGTCTTCTCAACAGGGAAGGCATACCCACAGAAAGTACCATTGCTGGTTTGAGTTATTTGGTATTCTAATTGAAGCTCCTGAAGTCGGACAGGAATTTCAATGCTGCAGCAGTTGACAGTATTGCAAGTGGCCGTGTCTTCTGAATTTCTTTGACAACGGGTAATGCATCCGCTAATGATATCGGTGGTATTGGTGAGCAGCCAGACTGTTTTTCCGCAGCCCAGATTAAACAACTCATTATGCGTCGATGAGATGTAAAAAGGACTTCCCGAAAGTGATATTGGTTGAGTGTGCTGTGTTGAATCTTTGTAAGAGCAATTCAGCAGCGACACACGCTGGTTTACAGTGATTGTACCTTCTAGGGAGATCTGCAGCACTTCCAGATTATCAATACTGCTCAAGATTGGCTTTGGAGGATTGGTGGAGTTATTACAGACGATTGTGAAGAATGAATTTGCACTGCAGCTCGAACCAATTCCGAAAGGATAAGGAATGGTGACGTTCCCACATTTTTGTTGGCAGCCACGTTTGGACAAAGAGATTGATTGAGTCATGGCTGGAGACAGACACAAAATGTAAAAAACTCCATGTACGAAGGGCAGCCTCCTCATCTCCATAATTTGTTGGCAAAATTCTTCGAAATATTAGAGTGCAAAATCAGTGAATTAAGCCATTGAAAAGGTACAAATCAAAGAGATCATAAGCTGTAATAAAAAAAAAAACAGTATTGAATCAAAAATCTGAATAATTAATTATCAATGGTTGACTCAGTCATCACTTTGAATGTTGAAGTTGAAATAATGATGCTCATTTGGTGTTTCCTATATCACTTTCATCGTCCTTTTCCACATTTTGCAAGAATTTAAGGTGTGAAGAAAGTCATGGGCCCGTTTGGTTCGCACAATGTTTTTTAAGAAATTGGAATATGTTGAGGTATTGGAAATGTAGGCTGAAGTCTTTTTTATGGTTGTTGTTAACTTTCAAACGTTGTGTTCACGATACACTCAATATGAACAGACAAGATATAAATCATAAGTTCGCAGCATATAATTTATATTAATATGAATATGACAAATGAATACAATACATACTATAATTAATCTCAGCACAAGTCATATTTCAAGTATATGTATAAAGTATACCAATTTAACATTGTCTTTTTCAATTCTCTTAACACTATAGGCTATAGCAAAGGGTGAAAGAAAAATAATTAAAATAAAGGGATACGAAAGTGGTAAACTTTAATATTTTAAAGAATAAATTAGCATGATTATATGTTAAAAAAATTATTTTTACACTAAAAAATAAATTTTGGGCCCAAGTCTCTCCTTTGATCCACCGCTGACCGTCAGCACATACTTTCAACTAATATATGCGTTGTTGCTTAAATCCTTTTTGATGGCTCAACGGATCGAGCCTGTCGAAATTGATGGCTTCTCGTCTACCTCAAAAAAGGATCCCAAAGAGAAATAAATCAAATCAGGTGAAGCGTTGAAAAATTGGATCAACAGCAGTGTGAATGAAATTACATAATGTAATGCACAATTGGGAGGAGAAGAAAGAAAACGTAGAGTAACAAAATAAATTAATAAAGTTTTATTACTATAATTTTTCCAAGTATATTTTTAAGTAAATATTTTTTGCTTGTTTTAAATGAAATATGATTGAATGATAAATAATTAGAGGGAAAAGAATATACAGAACAAACTTATGTCTCAAAATTTTTGCCACTTTTAATTATCTGCATACAGTTTTCCTGTGTTTACTATTTAAATATACTTCGTAAATTTATTGCAAAAAAAAATAATAAATTAATATAAAAACTATCAAAATTATACTATGTAAAGCACAAATGCATTTTATGATCACAAAAAATCAAAGCAACTCGGTCATAAATTTATTTATATCCATATGTTATTATTTTCAAATTGAAAAACACTATTCACTTCATGTAGTTTTCATTAAAAACATATTTTTTCTTCTCACAAAATATTACATCAAAATACTATTTAAACAAAAAAATTCAAACCAACATCTTATTTCAAATAAATTTTGAACCACAATCAAACAAACCCCGCAGCCTCCAAATTGATTTCTTTAATCCATTAAGAAAAAGTTTTTAGAGTTTTGAATTTATAAAAATTAATAATTAAAAATTTAACAATTTGATTGTTTTTTTTTTTTTTTTTTTTTGTTAAAGTAGGTAGATATTTAATGTAATGTGTTTTTGAAAATTATTATTATTACTAAAAAATATACAAGTAAACAAAACTTAAAGGTAATAAAAAACTACAAAATAATTGTCTTTTGAATCAATGCATACAGAACATCTATCGACCCAAAGAAAACTCTTCTCGAACACTGTAATGAAATAAACGCGGAATAAATTTGATTTTATTAAAGAAAAATCAACGAAAATACAAAAACAAAGTTTGAACTATGATTTAGTTTTAGGCTCAACCCCCAAATCACCCACCAAAACACAAAATCGACACAAACACACATACAACGCGACATACACAACCAAACCGGCCCAAGATCCTTAACCTAAACCGAAAAGCCACCCCACAAACAACAGAAGAAAAGGCTTACGAAAAACAGTAGCAAAAAGATAACACCACAGTAGAAATTGTCAAGCAAACACGAAGCGAAACCCTAGAAGTTTGCTTCGACGCACAGGGGGGTTTGGATCGCCACGAAAAGCTCCATAGAAAATAAGAGAAAAAACCGTAGGAAGGTCGCCGGAAGATCGCCGGAATATCGCCAAGAGAGAAAAGTATGTAGAGAGAGGCGAGAGAGATTAGAAAGAGAGAGAGTGAGGGTGAAGGTGTTTACGGCTCTCTCTCTACTTGTATATATATGTAGGTTTAAAGAAAATTCAATGGATATGAATAAATCCCTAAATCCAACGGCTCATGATCAATCTGGCAAGGGAAGCGGGTCATGGGTTAGGGGTGCGGGTCGCGGGTCCGATTTAGGGCCAAATTTAATTGGGTCACAGAATATATATGTGTTTGTATTTGTGTATGTATTCAATAATTATCTCAAAATATTATCAGCAACCAAAATTTTATAACAATCCTCTACCTAATTTTGGTTATGGGTGACTTGGGTCATCATTGCCCAATAGTTTGGATTACTTATCTGAACAAAGAGAAAAGATAAAAACAAGTTAGTCTAAGATACCTTAATTTAGCCTACCATCTACACATATGTAGAACACAAGTAATCAAATGTATCAAAACATATTATTTTCAAACAAGATACAAATTTATTAACTTTCCAGAATATTGTATCTACAACAGCAGAAATACATTCAAATCTAAACATTGACAGAACTACATTACATTGTAAATGTGTTATACAACCAAAACATGTAGCACACAATATACAAACAAAAACAGTAGCTGCAAGTTTCATATCATTCACAACTAATGATAACATAAGACAGAGAAACTAATAGCAAACCTTAGGAACTGTTTTCAAACAATTATTATTGACTAATGAATTATTATCTTCATTTAATACCAAACAATGAGACTTATATTCAGGATTTAGTATTTTCTTAACAGCCATAAGATTATCCACATAAAAGCTCTCAAACATATAACATGGCAAAGAAGATGAATCAAAATTACCAAACATAGATAATACTTTAGGACTATTAATAACCTCATCTCTAACCAATAGGTAATTTTCAATCTCGGTAATTTTCAATCTCATTACTATTATTTGAAACAATTCCAACATTGCTTTTAATTTCAGAAACTGTATTTTCTGATTTACTCACAACAGGCTGACCAACAACAGATAAAATTCGAAAATCACCAACGAAAATATCAGTTTCACTATATAAAGCAAACTCCACCTCATTTTGAACACTATAAAAAATAATATTAATTTCTCTATTAAATTTTATATTATCAGTTTCAACATCAATTTTGCACAATTTCAGCAGATTGAACAATATTTTCATCAGAAACAGAATTAATATCATCACAATTAAACTCACAATCTCTCATTCTCTCAACATCTAAATTTTTGTTTCTTCGAATACACACACTTTCAGCAACATTACAATTAATTACAGAATCAGTCTCTGCAATTTCAGTGTCAAAAACTTGCACATTTTCGGATTCACAAACAACATGTTGAATATCAGTACATTCAAAACGAAAATAAAATTTTATAGGTTTAATTTCTCTGTTTTCTATATGAATCAAATTATGCTCCACCTTTCAGCAACCCCACTAAATTGGAATGCCTTGGGGCCAAATTCAAAATTGATACAATTTTGCACACAAAAATTACTAAACCAGGTGCTACAAAAATTTTAACCATTATCAGTATATTTAATTTTTTCTGCCAGTTTCAATTTCAATTTGTATTTTTCAATTCTTAAAAACCTTAAACAAATCATGTTTATTTTTCAATAAGAAAATCCAAATTTTTCTACAAAAATCGTCAACTACAGTTAAGATATATCTACTCCCACCATGAGTGGATTCATTAAAAGGTTCACATATATCTATATGTATACATTCCAAAAAAATTTTTGAAAAAAATATAATTTTTAGGTGTTTCAATTTTCCAAGTTTGCATATATTACAAAAGGGAACAATAGAAAATTTCCCGTTTTCCAAATAACCAGATTCATGCAGAATTTTCGGGCCATTATTGCTAATATGATCCAACCTCTTATGTCATAATTCATAATTATCAATTTCAGAATTATCTATATCAGAACATACATTCACATGTATAGTAAAGGTTACATATAAGTCATTTTTCAATTCTGCCCTAAAAATCACTAAAGACTCTTTTGTTATTTTCATGCAATTTAAACCCTACTTTCTTTCTAAACCTAAAGTAGATTATCTAACACATGACAACATATTATTATACAATTCAGACACATATCTCACTTCATGCAATTTCAGCACATTTCCAGATTTAAAATTCAGATTAACAACACAAATTCCCTCAACTTTACACACACCTTTATCAGCTATAGTCACACAACAATGTGTTAAAGTTTTAAATTCAGAAAAATATTTTTCAGATGTGTCATATGGTATGTGCAAGCAGAATCAACTATCCATTCATTGCACTCAAAAAATTCGAATTCAAATTTGGACAAACAACAAACACGTTCCCTAAATCATTATCAATAGCAGTCATATTGGCTAACTCACTTGTTGGATTACTATTATTCTTATTACCGTTATTATTATTATGTTTCTTAGGGCAATATCTAACAAAATGTGAAGGATCACCACAATTATAACATCTCTTTCCTTCTTTATTAGGTGTTTTAGATCTATTTCAATTTCTGTTATTATTATTCTGATTTTTTATTTTATTATCAGAATCTCCAAAATTATTATTCTTATTAGATCTAAACCGACCTATAATAAACATAACATCACCAGATTCATTAGATTTATTTACATTTAAATCTAATTCTTTACTTTTTAAACAATTAATAACCACATCTAAAGTCACAAAATCACGCTCATATTTAATTGTTGATTTTACATTAGAAAAAGCACTTAGAATAGCATTCAAAAGAATTATAGCACTATAATCATCTATATTCTTATCACCAGTAAGCTTAATATCTTGAATTAATTTTTTAAAAATATCAAGATTTTCATCAATAGTTTTAGATTGATCAAGTTTA